TAGATAGATAGATAGATAGATAGATAGATAGATGGATGGAAAGAAAGATAGATGGATGGATAGATAGAAAGACAGATGATGGATGGATGGATAGAAAGATAGATGATGGATGGATAGATAGACAGATAGATGGATGGATGGATGGATAGATAGAAAGATAGATGATGGATGGATGGATGGATGGATAGAAAGATAGATGATGGATGGATGGATGGAAAGATAGATGATGGATGCATGAATGGACAGATCGATAGATGGCTCAATAGATAGATGGATTGATGGATAGATAGAAATTGTTTGAGCTGATGATGTTTCAGTTTCTCAAGCACTGAAATGCTGCATGTGTATGGAGTTTGTCTTTCTCTCTCCTCGTCCTCTCTAGATTTATTTCAGTTCATTTGTTCTTTTATTGGTGTTTTATTAGCTCGTCTAATGATTCCAGTGAATCACAGCAGTTGCACTGATGAGCTCAGGTGGGACTGTAGCGTCAGGCACATAAAGCAGCCGCTCACAGATGTGAGACGTGTGTCAGTACAGCAGTGATGGAGACAAGTGTCGTGTTTCAGGTCTTTATGATGAGGTAATGAGCATCAGCTGGGCTCCCAGACGTGTCTCTGTGAATCTGAGATGTAGGCCGTGTCCCAATTCACATCATATCACTCCACTATAGTGCGCTTTTGGGCTGATACTATCCACAAAGAGAAGAAGAGTGTTTTTGACATTGTTGAGGGTCAGTGTGAGGCTCTGCCAGCAGAGGGAGACGCTGATGTCTCTCTTCAGCTCTTGGTTTTGAGGAACTTGATGGGCTGATGGTGTTTTTTTTGTTTTTTTGGGGATATCCATTACAATTATCGACTCATGCTTGGACTTTATTTCTGATGTACTCAAACAGCAGTTTATCTCATTTGTAGAGATTTATTGGTGGACTAGCAATTGAACTCTGGACAGAAATGTGTTTTTAAAATCCTCTACTTTTCTCTTTCAATTCATCAGCTGTGAGTCTAATACTCTCGGCGCTAAACATTTAAGCTGTCTTAAGTAATGCTTGTAAAGATTTATTAATCTAATAACTTTACGGTTTTAGTTTAGATCATGTCAGCAGGCAGCAGCCCTTCCGTCAGCAGAGCACTAAAAAGTGAAAAAAGTGATGTGACATGTGGCCAAGTATGGTGACCCATACTTGGAATTAGTGCTCTGCATTTAACCCATCCAAAGTGCACACACACAGCAGTGAACACACACACACCGTGAACACACACCCGGAGCAGTGGGCAGCCATTTATGCTGCGGTGCCCGGGGAGCAGTTGGGGGTTCGGTGCCTTGCTCAAGGGCACCTCAGTCGTGGTATTGAAGGTGGGAGAGAGCGCTGTACATTCACTCCCCCCCCCTACAATCCCTGCCGGTACGAGACTCGAACCCACAACCTTTGGGTTACGAGTCCGACTCTCTAACCATTAGGCCACGACTTCCCCTAGCTAGTCTGAATTCAGACAGAAGATGAAGTTGTTCTGATCGATTTGGCTATTTGTACAATTCAGTATCAAATCGAATCAGTCCTGAGCCAAAGCCCTGACTCACTCCACTACCTGTTTGTGCTGATCGATCTGATTTTACACTTGGTGTGTTTCTCCAGTCATGAAGGATACAGAAGGTTAGAGGCATAAATAAAAAATAATACATAATATAGTTTCATATTATATTTTAATAATGTAATATATATGCATTATTTATAGAAAACAGAAATAATAATAATATTAATAAATGTTATAAAGTTTCACACATATATATATATATATATATATATATATACATATATACATATGACACAGAAATATACAAGCATACATAAAAAATAATACAAAATTTCATGGCCAACAGGAAATATTTCTGGAATTTGTTACCATTGGCAGGTGTGTACATTTTTGACCTTGGTTCTGGTGAAACTCATGGACTGTTTGTTTTCAGTGCTGGGTCGATGTTACCCAAACTCTCAGACAGCTG